CCCCGTTTTTTTTCCCCCGTTTTTTTTCCCTTTTTTTCCTCTGAACAGTTTAACATTTCACACCTTTTCTAACACGGCAAATGGAGCTAATCCAAGTTTTGAGTGGACATTTGTCACAGTGTATGTAGCCTTTTGGTGAGGCTGAATAGGATATTAAAAAACAAAATAAAAAACCCAAACACGAGTGGTTTCTCTTCCTCTAGTTACTTGAAAGGTTGCATTAATGCTACTCGTATTTCGTAATTTCCCTGGCAGTTGACTATGAAATTTGACCTATTTAAATGGTTTTACTGTACTAGATTTCCTGGAGACCTTTCAAGATAATTTGCTTCCTAATCTAAATTTAACAGTTACATAAACCACATTTTGGAGACTTGGAAATTTCTCTCTACTGCCTCTGCTTGCCTTTTTTTTTTTTTTTTTTTTTTTTGATAGACAGGACATACTGTAAAAGTATAAGTACAGGACTTTAATCTGAGATTTGCACTGAGCTTGTCAGTTTATATACATAGATGCCGGTTTTCTTTTTAATAAGATAAAAGTAGGTTATTTTCTGCCCCACTTAAATGTTTTCTTGGTACTGTGGCCAATTCCATTCTTGTCGATCAGTTTTAAAATTTGAAGAAATAAATTCTCGTAGGTCTAGAGTATATATTTGAGTTACAGTTCCTTGATTTTCTTGGCCTTTTCATTCTGTGTAGATTTTAACAGATAGGGAATGTTGAATATATATGCTAACCTTTCTCTCAGCAAACGAAGCCAGGAAGGAGAGGACTGTTACTCCGTCGAGGTCCTGTTTTCAGGAATCTCGGCTGCATTTAGGGATTCATTTTGTGCACTTGTCGCTGATGTCTCGCCTAACACAGAAGACTCTGACATTCACCATCCTTCTGCCTGCTAACTTGGTGAGTGGTAAACTATTGCAGGAGATGTATTTTAACACGGGAGCACATTCTTAATGATTTGCTTGGTAAACTTGGTTTCCTCTGAAGCGAATGGCAAAGCAAAGCGTGTTTGGCACTGTTGTTTCTACCGGSTTTTGAGAACGGTGCTTTGAACAAGACTGAAATTGTTGATTGTCTGCTGCTTACATCTCGAGCCTGGCTGGTTTTTTGAGCAATGTGTGATAACTGGCTCTGCAGAGCGGGAAGTTTCTTAAGAAAGGAGTGGATTTTTTTCCCTTTTTCAGGCGGGAGGGCGAAGCAGCAAGTGGGTATTTCTTAACGAGACACTGGGCTTACCTTAGTGCTGATACTCGCAAAATAAGCCAAAAAATAAGGGCAAACGTAACCTAGGAATCATTATTATAAAGCCACCTCTCCTATATTTTTAGAAGCATCCACCCTACCCCCTAAACCGCTTCCTGCGTGTGCTGTGGGAGACGTTGGCTACGCRCAGGGGAAGGAAGCTGCCGAGTTGCAGAGGGGCTGATGCCCCGCTCAGCTGTGCCCAGCCTGCGCCGGGGCTCCACGCGGCACCTCCGGGAAGCACCGGGAATGCCGGCAGCGTGGGATTGCTGCCGTGCCCGGGGAGAACCCGCCGTCCCRGCGTTATTTGGGATTGAGCACCCGAAGGGCACAGGACGCTCCTCTGGGCAGCCCAGTGTCTCTCTCCTTGCCGGCACTGACTGTTTTAAACGTGACTTTTGTATTTGGTTTCCATGTAAAAGGTGCTCCAAGGTGAGCACTTCGTGTTGGGTCTTTGGGAGAACTTGTTCATGGGGTCATAAAGTGATTTAGCATCCTCTCTGGGGCCCTCCGTTAATATATCAGCGTGTGTTGTGCTCTAGGTTTTGGTCATCTRCGCTTGACTGCGAGGTCAATCTGAATTGCATCCATAGCCAAAGCACCCCTACTTACCTCCTGTAGCATGGATCATAATTTGGTGATCGAGAAATGAAACTTTTTTTTTTTTTCTCCTTTGGAGCCACTTGACTCCTTTACTCTACAACAGGATTAAGCTTTATGTTACTTTACACTTTTTTCCCCTTAAGTATTGGACCTACTGGTAAGCTAAAGAGCTAAAATTAAATTCTCAAAATACAGAACAATAGTTCAACATGAAAACTTKCAAAAGACCTGAATGAAGATAAAGGATCGGAAAATGTCTGATTTTTTTCTTTTTTTTTTTTTTTTTATCTTCAGTAGAAAGCATTTCTATCAARCACCTAATGACTGCTCGTCTCTTTTTGTCTCATCTCTTTAATCTCTTTTTTTTTTAATAGCATCTGAGATCCCTTTCTAAAGTTATTTTTCARCTCCTCTGTGGAAGGAAAGTATTTCTTATTTAATATGAAAAATCTTGAAATATTTTTTCATTTTGTGGTTAAAAATAATAATATTTTGAATTGCYCTAGGGTTATCAAGTGCCATTCATTATAACCGATACACTGAGGTTGGAAAAGRACATTAGTAACCTCATGAACACTGAATTTGTTATATCCTCCAGAGTCCTTGCATTCAGTTTTGGTGCATTTCATTGAGAGAAAAAAACGTGAATTGTGTCCCTTCTTTAAGGACTTACTGTCACTGTAGTTTTGAGGGTCTAAAGACAGGAAAGAAAAACTCTAGAATATTTGAGAGATTCTACCCACCTGTGACTTGTTTTGGTTCTGCTCACTTGTTTGGATTCACCACACCAGTGGACGGAGGAAATTGTCCTCATTTCCACCTGTAGTCATTTAACTGTGTTGGGTTCGCTCCAGCTTCCTCAGCTCTTTGCAAGCCGGGGAGCACGGGAGGTCAGCTGAGGTAAGTCAAGATCAGCTATCGAGGCCTCGGATGAGACCTAAGGCTTCGGGGTGGGAATGCTGGTGCTTGTGACAGGGGCAGCTTCATGGCCTGCTCGCACCCAGGCCGGCAGTCCCGAGTGGGAGATGAGGGATGGCAGCTCGGCCGTCCCTGCAGGCTGCTGCTCCGCAGAGCAGGTTGCAGTTAATCCCCCGTGAGCTACAGCCTGCTTGGCAGTCTCGGTGTGCGAGCTTACGAAAGGGTGTCGTAAAGGAAGGGCTCGCCTATTAAAAACGTAAGTAAAGCCTCCTTTCAGGACGGTCCTGCCGGAGCTGGGCGAAGACTTTTGCCCCTATATCACGTAGGGACACATCGCAGCATGTTGATCATTTTAATAACCTGTCTTCCTGAGCATAGCCCTTGCTTGATTTGTGGCAGCTCTGCGGGTGTTTATTCCTGGCACTTGTGGTTACTATTGCTGCAGAAAGCCGGCTGGGATCCGGGGTGGGCTTATTAACCTGGGTGACTGCTCTTTCAGCTCCTCTCTGCTCTAATGGGAGTATAAATTGCTTTTCTGAGCTGATGCAAATTCACTTCCAAAAGAGAATTTTAAAATGTTTTTTACTATGTTGCCAGAAGTGTATCTCCTTTTATTTTTTTTAAAGCTTTTACACTTGCCATTTTTATGTAAGCTGTCCCTAAAGTGGCCATTCCCCCTATAGCTTCCTCATCGCAGAGGCAGAAATCCAGGCTCCTGGAGGGTCCTTTCTGTGGCTGCATCTCCTAACCTTGCAGTTTAAACCAATGTTAATTGAATGTTCGTGTTGTACTTTTTGGATAGCCCTGTCCTTAATGCAGAGTGAAAAGCTTTTATTGCTACATGTTTTTATAGACTTACGAAAGATGAGAAGCTCCTGCCTCAAGCTTTCAACATCTTTTAACAGCTGCTCAGAAATTCATCTGAATGTTTTAAAAAAAAACCCTAAAACACCCAGAACAAGCAATGAGCACTCGTGAAGATGTGGGATGTTGCTGTAGGAACGTATTTGCAGCTTCTCCCCAGGCCTTCAGAGCTGAAGGCTGCTGGCCAGGGAGGTGTTGACAGTGGTGCATCCTGCTCCTTTTTGGGGACAGTTGTGTCATTTGGGGTCTCCTCCTCCCTCATTTGCCACCCACCACTTAGCCTCAAACCTGGGACCTCCCAAACCTCCTCTTTAAAGGAGAAGCCCGTTTGGCTCAAGCGCTTTCTACCTGTCGCTCTGCTTTGCTGAAGAGATCCACTGAAATGTCTTGATCCGACCGGTGCCTGTGCAAGCCAGGTTAAGGTGCTAGACAGAAGCACCTTTTTCATGTCCCATCCTGTTCTCCCACCTACCCACAAAGGTTAAATATCCGAACATGAAAGATTTTTTTTCTTTTCTTTTTATATATACATGTGATGGTTGAAATTATACACATAATTTCCGTCTCAGCTTTCAAGAGTGTGGGGTTTTGTTTGTTTGTTTTTGAAGTATTTAAACTCAGTAAACTCAGGCTCTTGCATATAAAAGGGCACTGGAAATTTCCAGTGAATTAAGCAATTCTTCTGCCACTGATTCCGTTGCAATCTCTCCAGAGCCTTCTGATGAACTTTTCTTATCTGGAAATCCTGTTTATCCCATGGGCTTTGGTTAATCTCAAGGCAGATTGTACGATAACCAACACAAAGAATTGGTTATCAAATGGTTATTTAGCTTTTTTTTTTTTTCCCTCCCCCTTCCCCCCTTTTTTAATAGATATAATGTATTTTTGTTTTGTTTAAGTTTCAGGTGTTGGCGAGCTGGCAGTTCTACTGCTGCAGCTCTTTCCGGCAGTTAAGTTTGTAGCCTCCCAGTGCCTSTTTTCTTCTCCAAAATATTGATTTGTTCCTGACCTTGCAAGATGGTTTCTTGAGTTTTCTCTAATGCTTTGCGTATCTGATCCATTGAGAAGATAGGGATGTTTTTCCTTTCATATTAATTTGTAAACTGTTASTGGTTCTTGCTTAGCAGATGTAGTGCTGTCGACCTGCATGGCAGGACTTGGGAGACAGGATATGGATTTTTGTTGGAGCTTGTTTGGAGTATGTAGGTGAGCTGCTTGTTTTTAAGCAACGATGTGGGACTTGATCTTCACCATTCTCTATATGTCTTAACCACTTAAAAATAAATTTTGAAAAGCCCTGTGCTCAGTTATGGATCTCCCACGGAGCCGCAGGGTTGTTTCTCACTGCTGCCGTCCATCCCTTCGTCTCTAACTTCTGGGAGCCGCGTTTCCTTGTGAGCTAAGCTGTGACCAGGCGACTTCGATGGAATTAGTCGGCTTTTATTATATTTATATTTATATTTATATTTATATTTATATTTATATTTATATTTATATTTATATTTATATTTATATTTATATTTATATTTATATTTCCCCCCCTTTCTGAAGATGAGTCTCCTGCTTCCCACGGGCACCCTTCTCCCAGGCAAGCTGCCTTTCTCTGTGCAGGCCTCATGGCGGCTCCGGCCTACAGCCCTGTCTCATCCCGCAATGGCGCCGCGGCGCCTCCTCGAGGCTGCGGGGATGGGGCTGGGCCGCCGTGGGGCACCTTGTGGCTGGAGGGATGGGGGGCTGAAGGGATGGGGYGTCACCGCCATGGCGCCGCCTCCTGGGTGAAGGGATGAGACCTGGCTGCCATGGGCTCCCCCTGGATGAAGGGGTGAAGTGTCCTTGTCACAGCACCTCGTGGCTGAAGGGATGAGGCGTCACCACCATGGATCCTCCTGGGTGAAGGGATGGGGCGGTGCCACCATGGCACCTCCCCTCCCCAAGGCTGAAGGGATGGGGTGAAGGTGAAGGGATGAGACCTGGCTGCCGTGGCTCCTCTTGGCTGAAGAGATGGGGCATCGCTGCCATGGCTCCTCCTGGATGAAGGGATGGGACGTCGCTGCCACAGCASCTCATGGCTGAAGGGATGGGGCAGTGTGGCCATGGCACCTGCCCTCCTCATGGCTGAAGGGATGAGGCATCACCACCATGGCTCCTCCTGGCTGAAGGGATGGGAAGGTGCCGCCATGGCACCTCCCTTCCCCATGGCTGAAGGGATGAGACATTGCCTTGTGTCTCTGCACGGAGTGGAGCCGGGCACCGTGCTGGGAGAGAGCGGGTGGGTTGTGCTGCTTCCTGGAAAACATGAAGCAAACTCATCAGAGGTGCATGGTTTTCAAGGGGACCTCATGCCATAGGAGTGTGGTCTAGGAGTGTCTTGCAGACGTGAAACACGGTGGCCAGGCTTGGAGTACATGTGCGCCTCGAGTTCTGCTGTCTTAAGTGTGATGAGGCTGYGGGGAAGTCTGATTTTTGTTTATCTGTTTGCTTTTTCCTCCCTTGCTAACATAGTTGCATCAWTTTTTTTGTTTTTTTTTTTCTCCTTTTCTCCTCAGGATGCGTCAGGATGAAACGCCACAGGCATCTTAGCACCAGTGACAGTTCAGACAATGAGAGTGAGTAACACGGGCTAGTGTTTCTTTGGTCTATCACCCCCTTGTGGTTTCCTTCTGTGGTTTGAGGGCAAACTGTTTCACCTCTATAATTAAAAAAATGTTTCTTGCTTGATTTCATTTTCTTCTTGCAGCATTCTTTCTTCTTTWGTGTTCTGAGCGCTTTTACTGGAGGAGAATGAAGCTGAGAATTGTATAAATTCAGCGTAGGATTTTGAGTCTGTATACAGTTTCAGTAGAAATTTGTATGTCTCAGCTTTATGGGAAATAATCTATAATTTTGAAGAAATTTCACTCTCAAGAGGAAGTTTTCAAAAGCCAGGGTTATTTTGTCCTCTGCAGAGCCTGAACTTTAAAATTCCCAGGATTGAAAAGCTGGTTCCTGATCTTTTCAGTGTCAGTCTGTTACCTGTGTTTATTAAAGTTAGGTTTTAAGGGTGCCTTGGCACACACCTCGCTCAGGTTGCACCTTTCCACGTGCAGGTGTAGAACTTGGCAGGATCTGGTCTGTTCCTAAATCTGTGCCCGCTGAAGAACTCTGTTTCTAATGGCAATTCATTCTCACCTTTCTTGGAAGTCGTCAAAGTATCATGCACTGAACTAGCGTTTTGCCCAGAAATGTCTAGACACGATGCTCTACTTTTTTCTTTTTGCATATCTTTTGAGCGTACTTAGGTATCCTTGCTTCTGTTTGTTTTTCCCAACTTGTAGGCTTCCTGTCCTCAGTTTGCTGCTCCTCCTGCTTTTTGCTAGATGGGAAAAGGAGGCAGGCAGTCTGTGTGCTTGTTTCTGTTTACTCACACTTGTGTCACACAGAGCAAAATGCACCTCTAAAATCAGCCTGCTGTGGTGCTTTACGAAGAACAAGTGGAACGGGAGGAGCTGTAATCAAACCTACAGACTGCATAGGACTTTCTTTACCCATGTCTTGTCAAGAATTATGATAATTCAACTATAGTGTCTTGTGTTTTACTGAGTAATTAAATGATTTGAAATGAGCTGTAATATGATTTTGGTTTGTTTTGTTTTTTAACAGGTCCTTCCACTTCCTTTTCTTCTTGCGCTAAATACAGGAGCAAGTCAAAAACACCAGCAAATGAACAAAAGAAGCCTGCTGAGGTAAGAATCGGGGTTGGGGATTGGTTGCTGGTGGGTCTTTTTATCGTGTGGTTTTCGTGTTTCAAGGCCTTGAAATAGTGAGCATTGGATCGTGTGGTTTTCGTGTTTCGAGGCCTTGAAAGGGTGAGCGCTGGAGTAGCGCCACTGAGGCCCTTTGTTGCCTGTCAGTTTTCCACTGATTCAATTTCTTCCCTCCATGCAAGTACTGTAGGACCTGTGGTTGATGTCCCCAAGTGACTGATGGGCTTGCAAACTGTAGGACACACTTCTTTCTTCCCCTCAAAGTTGGTTGTGTTTTGAGACTGGAAATCTGAGGTGGTCTTGTGATTTGAGAGCATGCCAAAGCAAAGTGGTTTGTCTGTGTATGGCAAGGATGCCTTTTGCTTTAAGATAAAATACTGGGACACTTCAGTTTGCAGGATATACGTGAACATCTTTTGTCATTTTTTCTCACTTTTGTGTTGTTACTTTCAATAAAGCTTCTGCTTTGCCAGCTTTATCTGTTAGGACCATTCTGCGTATATGCCTGTTGCCACTTTGATTAGATTTATATACCCTAATTGAGTTGTTCTCCTTTGGGGTTTACACATGATTCTGTGTTCAAATCTGTTCACCAGTAGCCCTTTTCTGGTGGGATTTATTGGCTGCTTTCTCCATACCTGATGCTTGCTTCTTACGAGCTGAAGTCAAAAAGTAACTGCAAACGAATACTGCAAACTGCATATGTTTCATGCAGTCAATTTCCCTTACTTTCTATCATATTCCCTCCAAATGAATCCTTCAACATGTTGGTGTAACTATTGATGCCCAAGGCTATTTAAAGAGGGGAAAAAAAAAAAGAGTCACAAAAAATACTTTGTTTCTGTACAATTTAATACAGAGACTTATGGCCCAGAAGTAATTTTCTGTACCGTACCAAATGATAGCTTTTTAGCTACTTGGATATTACTGTGGGAGATTGCATAAACATAGAGATTGCATTCCTATCACAAGAGCTATTCAGCGAGCTTACCTCATGTTCCTTTCTAAATGCTGCTTACTGGCTGAGTTCAGTTTGCTAAGAACAAGGTAAATATTGCAGAAAATACCTTTTCCTTGGAAGTTTAGTTTTTAATATGTTAGTTGAAGAAAACACACTGATTTGCGTCTTTAGAAAAAAAAAATAACATCTTGTGTGAATGTTTCAACAAAAGCGAGCTTGGCCAGGAAGCTGTGTAAAAAGCAACTGAGAAGATTAACGAAATGCTGCTATTTTTGCCTTCAAAATGTTGGTCTTCAGAGTTTTCAGAACCAGAATCCTTGTTCCTAAAGCCAGAATGTTGCGGTGGCCGCTCCCGGAATTGTTATGGTTGGAAAGGACCCTCTGGRCCATCCAGCCCAACCATAAACACTCGGGGCATCGGGGCAGCGAGGCCAGGCGCGATGCCCCCGTGCCCCTCGTGCCCTCGCTGCTCCGTGCCGGCTCCCGGCTTCCTTCCTCCCGCGCTCTCCCTCTGTGTCCCAGCGTGGGAGGAGTGATCACGCAGGTGCATCCCGTGGGTACCCCGTTCCYTTCACAGACTTCTGGGAATTAAAAGGAGCGGTGTTTTCAGTTCCTCCRCCTGCGATCATCTTTGCTCCCTGGTCCGAGATAAAGAGCTTGAGCCCTTTAATGTTYGAAAATACGAAAAGTCTTGAACTTTAGAATGTTTTCTCTTCTGGAAGGATGCCCAACGTGTTCTTAAAACAATATATTTTATATATATATATGTGTGTGTGTGTGTGTGTCTATATAATATAGATTATTTAAAAAAAAAGAAAAAAGAAAATCCGTGAACTTAGAGCCCTTCAGGGAAGGGAGGGTGGTGTGACAGTAATAACCKATCCCCTCTGTGTGCAGGACTCTTGTGTGTCTTTCCAGCTTTYATATTCCTCTGCCAGGCAGAAACCCTCTTCCCAACATCTAGGAAAGCATCTGCCGGACAGGGCATCGCTTGAAACGCGCTGTCAGCAGAGCGTCGACATCCATTATTGACGTGCATGCAAACTGCTGAGGAGGCTGTAAAGCAAGGACTGGAGCCCGTCACACACCCTCTGAAAACRTGTTACTATAACGGCACAAATTGATTGTGGTGATAGTTGTTGAATAGCTGCTTTATAGCAACTTAAGATTCCGGGCCAAGAGCGTCCATTTTAGCAAGGGCTCCTTTTGGCAAGGGGCACTGATCTCCTTTGCTCACCTCAGCTTGCCAGGCAGCAGGCAGTTTCTTCAGCTAGTGATGCAGAAAATCTGAAAGGTCAAAGCTATAAATAGCTGTTTGGGAATATTTTTGCTCCTGGTCCTCACACATTAATTTTTCTTTCATGCCAGTAAGCCTGGTTTTCTCAATTAAATTGCGTATGGATACTTAGGCTTTTTTCAACTTCCTCGGCCATCTGCAGTCCAAGCRTTCTTGCGTACCCGAGTTTTCTTTCCAAATAAAACTTTTTTTTGTCTTGTAACCAACAAGCAGGGTGCTGTGTTTGCCAGCTGGCTTGTCAGGATGTGCTGTGCTCTCCCGTGGCAAAGGCAGAGCAGTTGGGATTGTGGATGCCGCCTCCCCGGATTAGGCTTGGCTTGTTCAGAGTCAAGGTGGGCGCATGGGGGACTTCTGTGGGGCTGAGTAATTTAGTGATAGGGTGTAAAAGTCCAAGCCCGTTCCCAGGGCCTGATGTACCAGGTTCAAACCTGTGTGTAGCACAAGGGCTTTGTGGGGAACAGATGCCGTTTGCAGAGTTGCCCCTTATGCACTTAAACAGAGACGGGAGTTGAGCCGGCCTAAACATTAGTGTGGGGGTCTAAACATTAACCTGGGCGGGAGTAGTAGGGTAGGAAGCATTTGGTTGTCTGGCTCAGCGTGAACTCTKTGGGTTCCTGTCTGTGGAAGCTGCAGCAGAAAATGATGGTAAAATAGTTGGAGTCCTTGTTGCAGGGAGACCCTCTTAGCTGGACTGTCCCGAATGACACTTTGTTTTCCCTAAGGCTTGTGGGGCACAAAAGAGAACAGAAATTTATGTGATACTCGAGCTGTGATACTCAAGCTGTRATCTTTTTTGTAAGTCCTTGTTAACTCTTTTACATTTGTAAAAGAGTTAAGTTAGGATTGTGCTTTAAAATATATATATCTTTTTATATATGTAGTTCATGTAAGATGGCATGGACTATAGTGTTTTTCTTGTCTTTGCAAATTGGGTTTTGAAGCCCTTGGCCACAATCCTGGGTTCTGTCCCATATTGCAGCTGTGCTGTCACGTGAACCACAACTGCCTTTCCTGGAATAAATGGTCTGTTTTCATTACTTGGGCATGTGAAACATCTGTTCTTTACAGGTGCTTAGCTGCAGCACACATCGTAGGCCGTGATCCTGGGGAGCACCTGGAAGGACTGGGCTCCTCGTCCGGGAGAACTGGCTCCTGCCGTGGCTCAAAGGGATGTCCTGGGAAGGGAAGGGTGTCCTTTCCGTGTGCCCCGCAGGGATGCATCGCCGTGCCCATCTGCGTGGGCTTCTSGCGCGCTCCGCGGAGCTGCCTGGATGCGCTTGGAGAGCGGCTGCCCTTGTGGCGCGCGCGGGTTACTCGGGGCGAGAATTCACCCGGCTTTCTGCAAGCAGAAGCGCGGGTTGAGTTTTGGCTTCTGAGATACTATTTCGGAAGGGCTGTTTGAACAAGAGGCGAGAGGAATGCGGGAGGGCACGGAAAAGCCCTTTCACCTCCGGAATTCCCTTAACCGGCATAGRTGCAGAGTATTCCTGGTAGGAAAAGGGCTGAGCGAGAGCTCTGGTGGAGCCTGTCCTGGGGGCAGCGAAACGGGGCCGGGAGGTGCACGAGGTGGAAGGCAGGAGGTCTGGAGCACCGGGACCCTGCACGGGAAGCGCCAAGACTGGGAATGGAGCAAGGTTCCCAAAAGGAAGCAGGGTGGTAAATGCAGGGGGTTCCAGCTGTCTGCATAAGGAAGAGGCCGTAGAAATTAAGGGTTAGAATTAAATCCCCAAATCTAAAGCTGAGTGCTGATTAGCAGCCACAATGAAGCTTGGGGAGTTCTGAGACGATTCTGACACGTTCCTCTGGCTCGGAGACGTGCTGGGAGGTGGGGCTGGTTTGTATCTGGTGGCCTGGCATTTCCCGTCATCCCAGAGGAGGCCGGGAAGATCCATGGACACTCCAGAGACAAGTAAAATATTTTTGCTTGAGGCCTAAGGGATCTGTAAAAATAATTTGGGAGTTCTTAAAAAAATAAAATAGGAGTTCATAAATGAGGATTTGCTGCAAGATGTGTCCAGATAATGTTGATGTTCCCTTTGAAGAGCACAAACTTTTAAAATAAATATCTATTTATTTAGATATTAGGACATAAAAGACATTAAAGGCATTTATTTTTGCCTGCTCTAGCTTTTTAAACATTAGCTTTTCAATCCAGCCAGTGTGTGCACCTGGAACTAGAACTTCATTTCCATTTTTATTTTCATTTATTTWTTTTTCTTAAAAGTTGCCTTGAGACTCCAGACCCCTTTACAGGAGGCCGCTTAGTTCAGGAGCTTCATGCCCAGGTCACAGGCTGGTGGGGTTCTGCCCTTGCCCTTTCATTCCCGCCCCGTTTTGCCGAGTTGTGTCCCTTGGAGCTGGGCCTTGGCTGGGCAGGCAGCCCTGCGAGACGCCTCTGTGGAGCTCAGAGGTAGCTGCCTGTTCATGACACTGTGGTACCCTCCTGGGAGCTCCTGCTGCTGCAGGGCTCCCCTTTTTCATCTATGTGGTGATATCTCCATGTGAGGAAGAGCCTCTTCCCTGTGAGGGTGACAGAGCCCTGGCACAGGCTGCCCAGGGAGGCTGTGGAGTCTCCTTCTCTGGAGATCTTCCAAACCCGCCTGGATGCGGCCCTGTGCCCCGTGCTCCGGGTGTCCCTGCTGGAGAAGGGGGTTGGACTAGATGGTCTATAGAGGTCCCTTCCGACCTCAACTGTTCTGTGATTTTAGGTGTAGGCTGCTGCTTCAGAAGTGTCTGCAGCCTTTGCTGAGCTTGTCTTACTTGAGAGGTGAGACAGCAGGGTGAGCTTGGGTGCTCGTGGGTGCCGTGGCTTTAGGAAACAAAAGTACCGTGTCCTTTTGAAAGTGAACAAGAAGCTGCTTTGACCCAGAACATGGTGAAAACCTCTTGTGTCATTTGCTGAAAATGCCCACAAGTGTTTGGCACATGAAATTTCATAGTTGGCCTTTAGGATGGGTTGTGAACAAGACTTCAGAAAATCGCTTGCTATTTCATCTCTCTATTCAGCTTTGTTCTATGTTATTTTCCATAAAACATTTCTAAGAGCATAATACTAAAAGAAAAATTAAGACGTAGCAGGTCCTACCTTTTAAAAAACACTGCTTGTTGTTTCTTGAACAGCAGCTTTTCTGACTCAATAAACAGTGGACGTGAGGAAATGAGATGTGTTTTCCTGATTCTCTAGGGGCCCTGCAAGGCACCGGGGGAAGTCTCAGGAGTGAAGCAATTAGCTGCAATCCAGGAGAAATCCTCCTTTGATCCAAACAACAGAGCAGTCAACACACAAGTTATTAAACTTGGAGGGGTTGGTCCCGCTCCTGCCCTTGTGCTGTTTTGTTCCAGTTCTSCCCTGGTCTCTCCTGCATCTGCTGGGACAGGATAAGGGGAATGAGCAAGGGGATGTGTTTAGAGGTCTGTGGCAAGAGATGAGTGTTGCTTTTTGGAAATGCAGTCTTAGATTTGCCTTGGTCACGAAGACAAGGTGCCCCAACGTCTGTGCAGATCTGGTGCTCAAGTTGTTCAGAAGTGTCTGTGGAAGCAGCTTGTCAAGGCAGGACCTTGTGCCTTAGCCTCTGCATTCCCAGGGCTTGGCCTCGGGAAACGGGCTGCCTCGGAGCATGCTGCTCTTGTCTGCGCTCCCCTCCCTCGTCTGCCAGTTCAGCTCCGTTCCTTTCTTCCTGCCTCTTTGCTAGAAACTTCCTTTAGGCATAATAGTATAAGCTGGAAAAAGGCTGAACTCTGTGTTTAGGATTTCTCCCCTTTAACACGTGGTAAGGGAGCACAGGGGGTAAATCCAAGCAGCACCTGTATGAGTGTGTGTAGATCACATTTGACAAGGCAGATGCCGAAATACACTTCAGATAGGAAAAGCCTCTGACCCTTGAAGACTTGAAGAATCTTTTTCAAGTATAACTCCTGATAATCCATAGGGTTGCTCCTSTATTGCGTGGGATCGCTGTGCTTGGTCAGTGTGCGGTTACATGTGGGAATGCAGAAGACGTGCCCACAGAAATGCTGTTTTCCCAGGGCGCTTCCCCTGCGGCTGCCGGTGTTCTACGCCTGTATTTCAGTGCCCTTGCTTCGTGAGATCCCTGCGTGAGAAATTCTTGGAGCTGCCGCTGCTGTTGGGCTGCCGTCGTTTGCAGCCTCGAGGCGACCGCCTGCAGCAGAATTGGCCTCCCTGGGATCCCCTGGGTGCCCCWTGTCCCATCACTGGCCACCACTGAGGAGAGTTTGGCCCTTTCCTCCCTGCCTTCTCCCGTCAGGTACWTGCACGTGTTGATCAGATCCCCTCGCAGCCTTCTCYTCTCCAGGCTGAAACGCTCCTGTGCCACGTGTGTGTAGGAAGGAGGGGTGTCTGTAGGAAACGCTCATCGCGTGTTGGATTCCTTCAGGACCCAACAGGGTTCCCCAAGGTTTCAGCAGCTCTCTTAGTGTGGGTTAAACCCTTCCCCCTCAGGGATGGCACCGCTCTCAGAGTTTGAAAGCCGCAGCAGAGGCCTCCACGTAGCTGCACGGCGATGGGGTGGTCAGTCCTGTCCCACAACCAAAAAKATAGTCCATGCTCCGAGGGATTTGTGCTCTGGAAATGCAGATGATGCAGCCTGCATACATAATGGATGATGGGAGGATGGATTTGCTGCTGAGCAGGGGCGTTTGAATACTGATGCCTTTAGTAGTGGTTTTCATCTAGAATTATGAAGTGGTGGTTTTGATATGGAGCATTCTACTTCTGTCAGTGACTTAAAAGGCCCTTTGAAAAGCACTGTCTCCGATTAGGGCTTSAGGAGCATCTTCTCCATTAATTAAACCAGTCATTGCATTTCTAACTTGGTGGGTTGTTTTCCCCTCCTGGAGTTCTTTGGAATTGTATCGTGAGTGTTTCTCATAGACCTGCTTCTGTGTTTATAATGAAGAGAATTAAAACATCTTTTAAACAGGATAAATCACTTCACATTTTAATTCTGATGCGTGTGCTTGGGGCAGGTGGGGAGGTTTACAGGCTTAGTGTGTTCCCTCTTGTCCTTGGGGTTTCCATAGGGCTTGTTGGGCACTCGAGCTCTGTGTGGAAGGCTCCGGGAAGCAGCCTGATCCAGGCTGGAGCGGTCACGCCTGCGCCCAGCAAACACATGGGGCTTTAGCCAGGAAGTTTGCTTGGTGTTTTCCAAGAATAGCCGAGGATTTTCACACAGCAGGCATCCTGTCAAATGGAAAGGGATTCAAAAAAACCATCTTTGCCTCTGAAATGGTTAATGGCTCTTCTGGCTGTAAAACTCCGATTTGGTAAGAAGGTGATTCCCACCTGCCGCATCTGACTGCAGGGATATTTCTCCTTTTGATTTGCTGTCCTTCAAGGGCTTGCTTKCTTTTTACAATAATGTAGTTAATTAGTATCGATGCCTCCCTAACCCAAGCCGTATTCGCTTTTATGGATGTGACCTGTTGAAGTGCAGCAGCACAAAACCCCCAAGGTCCCTCTGTCCCTCTGTGCGTGTTTGACGGGCAGTTCTCTGGGAAAGCTCTTGGACAGCTGGTAGTCCTGCTTGCTCGTTTGAAAARCGTAACCCCTTTGGGCCAGCGAGCTGAACGTCCTCGTTGGAGGTGTGTGGGCTCGTGTCATTTTCGGATGGCAAGTTTCCCCTTTCTAGGTTTGCTGGAGACTCCTGAAGCCGCCCTGTGCCGCTGCGTGGGCCCCGTGCGGAGCGGGGCTCGAGCTGAGGGAATCCGTGCTTCGGTAGAGGCGGTTGTTCATCCTTGATCCCGAGGATACTGACCAGCGAAACTTCAAAGGGTGCGGAGAGAGGAACAAATTCCTCTGCATCGGTTTCTCCATGGCAACTGTCACTGCAAATGTTCTTAGCCCCTGTGATGAATATGGCAATTTAAGGTAGCTTAGGTCTGCGAAATGCAAGGATTTGCTGTCTTGTGTTTACGTCGGGCTGGAGCCTACACTCTAGCAAGGAAAACAAGCTGGTTGGAAGTAATGTGATGAGGATTCTTGCAGCTCCTTAGATCACATGCAGCCCTCCTTTCCCCCTCTTTCTGGACACTGAGACAGCCTCCTTCCCGCAGCAGCAGCAGCGGGGTTGTGCCTTAGCTTACACTCCTTGTCGTGCTGCACGATCCAGAGCATCTCGTGTGGCTGGGTTTGTCTGTCAGTACTCTGTCTCAAAAGTTACCAACGTATATACCTGGCTTCTATGCAGATCAGCTAAAAATCTCTTTTGAAAATGGTTTAAAAATATTACTAATTTATTATTAATTCAAGCGGTTTGTTTTGTGCAACCCTTTTCTCAAGCAAGCTGCCTGGGTTTCCTCCACAGGTGTTCCGTAAGGATCTCATTAGTGCCATGAAATTGCCGGATTCTCACCATGTCAACTCAGATGAATACTATATCTTTGCGGACACGTGGAAGCAGGAATGGGAGAAAGGAGTCCAGGTTCCAGCCAGCCCCGAGACTATTCCACAGCCTTCTCTCAGGTAAGGGGGATTAWATGGAGACCCTGTGCWCCAAACACACAGAATGGYTGAGGTTGGAAGGGACCTCTAGAGATCATCCAGTCCAACCCCCTGCTCCAGCAGGGACACTCGGAGCACGGGGCACAGGGCGGCATCCAGGCRGGTTTCGAAGATCTCCAGAGAAGGAGACTCCACAGCCTCCCTGGGCAGAGCCTGGGCTGWGCCAGGGCTCTGTCACCCTCACAGTGAAGAAGTTCCTTCTCACATGGAGCTGGAACTGCCTGTGTTGCAGTACCAGCTCAGAAAAGATGGTTTCGGAACAATTGGGTGTCCAAGGACAGTCAGCATTCCTTTGTTGTATTAAGGCTGCAATAGAGCAGTCTGCAGGCTGGCTTCAGGTATGTTTTTAAATTAAGCCGGGACTAATTTGGACATCACCTCTGTAGCATATCAGTCCAGTYCTACTTCTTTCTGAACAGCACTGTAATGACTACAGTGTGGATTAAAAAAAGAGTGTTTCTTTTCTTCCTTTTTCTTTTTTCTGTAAACCACATGCAATTACAGATAAAATCTTCTCTTTTGAGTGTAGTGAGCTTAATAAACAGGAGGAAAAAAACCCAAAAAGCAAAAAATCCAACCTTGCCCTGTTGTCATGTTACTTGAAAAGCATTGCTGTACTGAAGTGTGATAATACAGAACAGTAGCAAGTAATCTGCAATAGCTGATAGCTGATACATTTTGCAAGAGGGCTGATCAGACCTTTGCAGCACTGTACAGATTGCTTTTATATGGAAACAACCTTCCCTGACTGACACTGAGAACCTGTTTCAGCCCTTAAGAAGAGGAGGAGGAAGTTGTGCTTGAGCAATCTGTAGGGGAAGCTGACCTTAAATACACTCCAGAATTTGGTTCCCTGYGTTTCTTTTGCAGTTTTGTTTTATTTTCCTGACTTGAGGTCACTATTTCTGGAGTTCGTTCTGTACTGGTAGGTATTTGTGCACATGAGGACTTTGCTGATTTTGTAATTTATAACAAATTCTAATCGTCTGCCCAAAAAAGAATGGAATAAACAGGCTTTTCCTTTTGAGCTCTGAAGAGCTGYGTAGAGTATATGCTTTGACAAAGAAAGTGAATGTTAGTTCCTGTTTCTTCAAAATTGCTCTTCTTGATCAAACTTAGACTGACAAACTCCATGCAGAGCATCTCTCAGGAGTCCCTTAAACTGCTTCAGAGCACGAGTTACCTTGAAGTCTGTTGGATGGGGTTTTTTTGAGGTGTTCTTGAAACTCTTGCCTATTTATGCATAATCCAGTTAAGCTAAGTTTAATTTAAGATTTAAATATATATATAATTTACATTGCCTTTTTTTCATGTTGAATACAGTGGAAGACCTCTCTCTCCTTGTCGCTTCACTTAAGCTTTAACCCTTTCTGCCGTCTCTCTCCGTAAATAGCTGCTTATTATTTGGGACCTGGAACATSTGCCCTGTGAGCAAAGGCCGAGGGAGCTGGGCCTGTTCAGCCTGGAGAAGAGGAGGCTGAGGGGGGACCTGRTCAGSGTGTATAAATACCTCARGGGAGGCAGTGAGGAGGAGAGGGCGGCCTCTTCTCAGTGGGGCCTCGCTCGTGGCGCCGTCCTGTGCCAAGCCCTGCGGCCAGCCCGGCTTCCAGCGCCAACGAGCTGCCCGTGGGAAGCGCGGGTGCCAGCGTGGCGGGATTCCCGCCGGGACTAGGGGCAGTACCCAGCTATTAAAAATAAACACGGGGCATCTAATATCAGCACTCTTTTATCAGATAATTTTATCAGGAAAAAAAAGATTGTAGTGGTTTTGCCTGGAATGGAGAAAAGCCAGGCTCGTGGGGAATGAGGGAGGGTGGCAGGAACAAGGCGAAGGGGGAGGAATGGCAAGAAGTTCATGGCTCTCGCCAGCGTGGTCCCATAATAGYAGCTGGAATACGCCACCGCTGCTGCCTCCTCCTTTACTCCTCTTGTCTTGTTTCCCACCGTTTTTCCAGAGAGGATTAGCTCTGGAAAGCAGGCAGCGCTGTTCACACGTGGCTCCGATCCATCCAACAGCTCTGACTTCCTTTAACCYACAGGGCTCTCGCGTTTGATTCAGGGGATTGACTTTGACCCTGGGTAGTTTTTCCATTCACATAGGGCAACTTCCTACTGACRCGCTGAGTTTTATCTGTGAAAATAATTGAGAGGTCTAAAACACAGAAGTTTTTCTGCCTTCCTCGATAATTTTAGTTCTTGTTTTTCCTGTACGTATTTTTCTGTAGCAGTAGAATGGTTCCCATATAACAAAAATACTACATTTCTCGTGTGTCTACGGTGTCACTTAAAATGCCAAGGTAAGAAAGGCAAGCATCTCTTCCCCCTCCCCAGTAGAATAAATAAAGCCTTTCCTCAAAAAGCTAGGATTTCCAAGGTTACTGGTTGGCAAGACTTGTTTCTGTCATTTAAGAAGACTATAAAACAAAGGAGGTAGATATTTTTATGTGTGTTAATTATTTTTTATGTGTTTCAAAAGTATTTGAGTTATCAAAGTGATGGTATTTACTGATTTGTACACAGCCTGGCATTTAAAAAAAAACTGTTTTTATATTCACAGCAAATCTTAAAATTTTCTGTGTAAATAGGCTTTCAGAATCCCCTCTCCCCACCCTGGGTACACTTATCAGATTGATTTATAGCCTGTGAACCACTATATTCCTTTGCACCTGGTGGCATCTGAGAGAGCTGTAGATAACTCCAGCATTTTGTCTTTCCCACCCCAGGATTGTAGCAGAAAAGGTGAAGGAAGTTCTGTATACCCGACCCAGGAAGTATATCCACTGCTCCAGCCAGGAGCCCACYGAGCCCGGTTACATCAACATTTTGGAACTGGCAGAATCTGTGTGTCGCTATGACCTGGATGACATGGACATCTTCTGGCTTCAGGAGCTAAATGAGGAGCTTACAGAAATGGGTAACTCCACAATAGGTTCCTGTTTTTAAAGCAGCAGTTAATTTCTGCTATTTGAATTGCAGCCTTTCTTGAGATCCTTTAGAATATGAAAAATGAGGTAATGACAGAAAGCAGTTCAAAACACTGAGGTGCTAGGGCAGTCAATGAGTTACCTGATTKCTGTAGGAAATTTCTGTAGGAAACGTTTCTGTTGGAAAAACACAAGTGCTTCCATTGAACTTGAACATATTATTGCTACCAGATACAGAGCTCTGAGGAGCTTGCGTGCTGGATTATTAACAGCTTCACACATGTTAGCTGGTTTAAAATCAGCAAAGTGAACTCCTTTTTTCCTTGCAAGTTATGAGTGTGGAGGACTATGAAGGGGAATTAACAGTGGAAAATATCTTGGAGTTATCACTGAAGTAACTGAGATACAGGATAGTGCAGTAGCCTGTTTAGCAGTTGCACCAAGAAATGAGAATCAGTGGCCTTGTTCCTATATGGAGAGTGTTGTAGTTAAGTGCTGCAGGCTCTGAGAGGTAGATGTTGCAACTTTTTCTGCAGGATCTCAGCATCGTTTGGGGCTGAGGCTTTTGAGAGGGATTTAGAGCCTCTCCATAGCTGTGAACATCATAGTTCCCAGATACACTAACTATGCAATATGKTGGCAATACGTATTTAAACAGGCAGTATGTATTTAAACACATTTCTTACGTATTGCCATCAGGATATTTTTCTGTTCTGTAATGAAAAGAAAGACAGTTTTCATAACAGTGGGTTTTTTTGTTTTTTTGTTTTTTTTTGTTTTTTTTTTGCTCAGCTAGTGCACTAAATTGGGAGGGTGCAGCTTTTGTGTTTTTAAAAGATATGAAGTGTAGTTTCTTAAGTTTTATTTCCTAGGAAGTTGCTCTTCAAAGTGAAGAACATTCAGTTGGTTGACTTGGGATATTATTAGTGTTTCTTCCTAGTGTGACAGAGAAGGGATGAGAGCTGTATCAGAACAGCTAATCAGGCAGCTACAGAAGCTGCTCTCTCACACGTTGCAGTGGGTGTTTTTGTTTGTTTTCGTAAGGAACAGTCTTGTATACAGCTGTATTTGTAGAATTTTGTATTGCGGTAGTAGAGCTCTTTGCACTTGCATATCAGCACTGGAGTAAAGCGGTGCGCGTGGAAAGGTGCTTGTTTTTATTTTATCTCCTATAAGAAGTGGTGGGGAGGGCAGGTGCCTTGTGCCCCGTGGTTGGCAGCCTCGCTGTTCCCGGCCGCAGGCTGCGGGCCCCTGGACGAGAACACCATGGAGAAGACCATCGAGGTGCTGGAGCGGCACTGCCACGAGAACATGAACCACGCCATCGAGACCGAGGAGGGGCTGGGCATCGAGTACGACGAGGACGTCATCTGCGACGTGTGCCGCTCGCCCGACAGCGAGGACGGCAACGACATGGTGTTCTGCGACAAGTGCAACATCTGCGTCCACCAGGTCGGTGCCGCCGCGGAGCCGCGGGCAGGGCCTCCGTGGCGCTCCCGAGGGCTCCCCGGGATGCTCTGGGCGGCAAGGGTGCTGCAGCGCCGCGTGAAGCGCTCGCGTCCTGACCCTTGCCGGTGTGTGGGCAGCTCTGGTGTGGGTGAGGAGCGCGCAGTGAGCTCTCGGGGACTGTGGCACGTCCTCTGCGGCAGCATACACTTTTTTTTTCCCAATTTTTTGAAGCCACCTTTGAAGTTTGGAGACAGGGCTGCATCTTCTCTCTATATAAAGAATTTCAGAATCACTTCTTTCACAAGTTTTATTTATTTATTTATTTATTTATTTATTTATTTATTTATTTCTGACTGACCAGTTATTTGGCCAGACCCAGGCAGTCCAAACTTGTGCGTGTCAAACCGCATGCAGGCGCCCTAGCAGCTTTTTCATCTTTCCAAGGCACCTGCAGCAGCTTTATTTATTTATTTATTTCTGACTGACCAGTTATTTGGCCAGACCCAGGCAGTCCAAACTTGTGCGTGTCAAACCGCATGCAGGCGCCCTAGCAGCTTTTTCATCTTTCCAAGGCACCTGCAGCAGCAGCCCTGCTGCCAGCCCCATCGCTGCCGTGTCTGCAGGGTGCCGGTCAAGCTGGGCTTTGTGCCGCTTGGGCTCGGCCTAGCCAGGCACGGCGCCGCTCGCCCTTGGGAAAAAGAAGCCCACCCGGAGGTCTCTGCATCACGTTTTGGGAGAGGCTTTGCTATAAACTAAAGTGAGGCTGAGAGGGCTTCTTAAACAGCATTTTTGCCACCTGCCTGCTTCGGGGCAGCCCACGCTTCTCCCCACTGCAGATAACGAAGGGTTTGTGGGCAGGGGCTTGTGGATCCCTCCGGAGAGCTGAGCTCCTGCTGCTGCCCCATCGCCGCCCGGCTCCTGCTGCTCCCCTGCCCTGGCCGTGCTGCCCCSCCGAGCCCTGGTGCGCCAGGCCTGGGAGGTGGCCGGGGGAACAGGGACCGTGTTTTCCTTGGGCTCCCTGGCCTGGCTTTGAGGCGGGCTGCAAAACCAGCTGGGGACCTGGCACTGCCTGCGAGCAAAGGGGCCCAAGGGCAGATTGACGGGGAGCAGCTCCGGTCCCCGGAGCAGCTCCGGTCCCCTGAGCGCTGCCGGACCTGACCACGGCTTTGGAGGCAGGGAGGGAACCTCCTGGAGCCTCCTCTCCTGCTCTAGAGTCTGGGCCTCCTCCACCCRTAGACCCAGTTAAATTGCAATATCRCTTCTGCCCATTTTCAGGCCTCTAAACAAACTGTGAGMTTAAAGTAACCCAAGAGGGGCACTGTATCTCATAAGAGGGAGGCAGCTGTGGTGGTACCGGGTGATGGGGAAAAATCCCTCGTAAAAGTGAGATGGTGCCGCCCTCTGCTGGCTTTTCCTAGCAGTGGTAACAGGCTCCCTCCTCCAAGAGAGTGCCTGGCTTGGAGTTCTCCTCACGTGGCTTTTAATCCAGAAAAATCCCGTTCCCTGCAGGATATGGCATAAATGTGCTATATTTATATATATATATATATATACACACACACACACACACACACATATATACACATATACACACACACATTATTATTATTATTATTATTATTATTATTATTATTATTATTATTATTATTATTATTATTATTTTAAATACTGAGACCTTAGAAAGCTGGGAAAGCAAGCACAGGAAACCTATACTCTCTCATTTGAGTTTTGGGGACCTGCACCTTGTTGGCGACCAGGGGTGTGAGATACAGTGAGGTGCAAGATGCGAGTTTGTGCAGCAGAACAGATCCGTGTGCACATGTGCTTAGCTGTTACACCATGAACTGTTACAAGAAAACCGACTTTTAATTGTCAAATTTAACAGTGCCTGAAATTCTCATTTGCTGGAGAACAGTGCAGCAATGCCACACTGAGGAAGTGGGCATGAAAACCAGCGCATGGGTACATGCTGTAGCTTTTGTTGCAGGGTTGTAGAAACGTTTGAAGTGMCAAACAGTTCCATTACTATAAAGGTAATGTCGTAGGAAATGATCTTCAGGAGTCAGGCAGCTCGTATGCCCTCACAGCTAAGCAGAATGACGTTGGGCTGCARTTCCTGCTGGTGGGAAAATGGGCTGTAGGCAGAGGGCCGCGCGAAGGGAGGCCTGCACCTTGTTGCTTTGGAAATGCAAAGCTCGTAGAAGCAAATACTGAGTTCCTTAATATCAGTGGTACTTTCTAATCACAGCGGGAGATGTTTTTAATGTATAAATAAATGTCACTGGACAACTTTTAAAAAGAAATGGGGAAAAAAAAAAAAGGTGTTTTGTATTCTGCTTATCCTTGATCCCCTGGTTTGCTTTCCCTGGAGACATTAGAGGYGGATTAAGTGCGCCTGTGATGCCCACAGCGGTGCTAGTGCTTGAAGGGCTCGTGCCCCGTGGCAGGCGGCGTCGCTGCGCGCGCCCGTGCCCGCCGCGCGCTGATGCCGCTGCCCGCTCTCCCCGCAGGCGTGCTACGGCATCCTGAAGGTCCCCGAGGGGAGCTGGCTGTGCCGCACCTGCGTGCTGGGAATACACCCGCAGTGCCTGCTGTGCCCCAAAAGGGGCGGCGCCATGAAGGCCACCAGGACCGGCACCAAGTGGGCCCACGTGAGCTGCGCCCTCTGGATCCCCGAGGTGAGGCGGGCGCTGCAGCCCTGCTCCTTTCCTTCTCCCTGCTTTCCGGGTTTTGATGCCCCCTCGCTGCTCCCCTGCCTTCCCTGCCTTTTTACATGCCCGTGATTTAAGGCGTCTGGGTGGCTTAACGCTGTTCTTCCTTCCGCTGAATCCGCACGGTGCGTGAAGACGGGATAGAGTCCAGCTCGTGTCCCGCTAATTAATTAATCCCTTTGTCCCCTCCGTTTACTAAGCAAGCAGTTCAGTGTCGTTGTGGCCCCTGAGGGCCCTGCTGGAGAGCGCTGCTGCTGTGAGCTGAGCTGTGCAGCCGCGGGCTCCCATCTCCCCAGGCTGCTGGCTGCCCTGCTGCGTGTGTAAATGTGCATGTGTATGCATAGTAAATTTAATAGYGACACCTTAGATTTCTCTATTTTGAATCAAATGTAGCATCACACAACTCTGTAAAATCGAAGCAGGCCCTTCTTTGGGGTTGGCGCCGTGCTCAGCGGTGTGCCCGGGACGGTCGCCGTCTTCCCAGGTCACCAGGGAAGCCAGAGAAAGTCTCAGGAATCTCTGTTGACACCTTGGTCTTTTCCTGGCTGGACGGTCGTCTTGGCCTTGCATGCTGCTGGGACAAGAAGGGCCCAGATTTTGAAGACCTGGAGAAACCTGGGGACACTTGTAGGGAAGTAGGTTTTCCCATAGAGGTACTCTTTGCTCCAAGCCAGAGCACAGTGACACCTCCCAGGAGGGAAGCAGGTGACAAAAGAAATCCCCTTCCAGCCTCTAACAAAAGAGAAGGAGACACGTACAGAGATGAAGCGTCAGGAGATGCGGATGCCTAAAAGAGGGACCAGTGGGTCACTAAGTGCAGGCTACTGTTGCTGGAGGCAACAMCACCAGAAAATTCCCTTCATGGACTTGTTTGACTCTTTCTTATACAGCTTTCCCTCACATCCCACCTGAGGTAATGCTGTTGAAAGGATTTTTTAAAGAGACTTGCCTGGGAAATCAAAGAGTTTTGCTTTGCGGGCTGTAGTCGTTGGTTTGTATCCTTATTTTCTTCTGTTGTTAGAGTCTTTTAGCTTAAGTGTCTCTTTCCTTTCATGCTTTCTCAAAGGGCATCTCCTAGAAGAGGAGAGGCTCTGAGATCAGAGAACTTGTGCTGAATGACTTGAAATCTGGGGGCTTCTCCATGCCTTAGATCACAGAATCACAGAATGGTTGAGGTTGGAAGGGACCTCTAGAGACCATCCAGTCCAGCCCCCTGCTCCARCAGGGACACCCAGAGCACGGGGCACAGGGCAGCATGCAGGCGGGTTTGGAGACCTCCAGAGAAGGAGACTCCACAGCCTCCGTGGGCAGCCTGTGCCAGGGCTCTGGCACCCTCACAGGAAAGAAGCTCCTCCTCGCATGCAGATGGAACTTCCTATGTTTCAACTTGTACCCATTGCCCCTTGTCCTGTCTCTGGCCATCACTGAGAAGAGYTTGGCCCCTTCCTCCCTACATTCTCCCTTCATGATCTTGTACATGTTGATCAGATTCCCTCTCAGCCTTCTCTTCTCCAGGCTAAACAGGCCCAACTCACTCAGTCTCTCCTCATATGAGAGATGCTCCTGAATCATCTTGGTTGCCCTCCCTCTGCTGGCCCCTCTCTGGGGTGTCCAGGGTGTAGATGGGGTGTCCCTGCTGTGTCCTCCCTGCAGACCATGGGGCCGGTGGGGCAGTGGCGCTGGTGCCTCCTGCTGTGGGGGGCGAGGGGGCCAGAGTCATCTCATAAGCSCTGATGCAGTAGCAGGGCGGACGGACACGGGCTGCAGCGGCCTCATCAGCCCTGTCTTGGGACGGGATGCTTTGGAGGACGGAACATGGGCCATTTTGCTCCGTGGATGCCTCGGGGGTGGGTAAAAGCCAAGATTGAACGGAGCAGGGGGGTTTCGGGTAGGGATGAGGAATTGCCCTAATGCCCTTTTTAGTTCTGAGGAACTGGTCTGTTGGTACTTGTTAAATTGAGCCTGTTTAAGCAGCRTGGAGAAATCCGAAAACGAAAGGAAATGTGTTTAACATCTCTTAATTGGCTCCTAACTGTGCACGCTAGATGCCTTAATTGCTTTGAAGAAGGACAGTTTCTAGCAACCAGGTTAAACCAGGAGATATTACCACAGCATTTATTTTTCCTATGGGATGTTGTAGTGTCATTTGCTGCAAAGTGTGACCACGTGGAGGTTTTTCAAGGAAATAAATGTGAGTTTATTTCTTCTTCTTGTATTAATGGCTAGTTTGTTTCCACTGCCTCAACAAATCCCTCCGTGCTGTTTTTGTTTACAGGTTAGCATTGCTTGTCCAGAGAGGATGGAGCCCATCACCAAGGTGTCCCACATCCCCCCAAGTCGGTGGGCTCTAGTTTGTAGTTTATGCAAACTCAAAACTGGTGCTTGCATTCAGGTGCGTACTTGCCCCATAGGGACTCCGGAACCCATGGGAGGAGGGGGATTTCGCTCCTGAATTTCCTTCTCCCTGTGTTCAACAATGCTCACTAGTGCCATGACTGGAATCACTAGTGCTCATCATGGTCCATCATGACCATTGGGTGGCTGCCTGTGTCCTTGCAGCTGTCTGTGCCCTTGGCATTAACTCAAGGATATGGGTCAGAGATGGGTGGGACGGTCCTTCTGCTGAGTGGTCTGTGCACAAATGACAAAAGGCACCTTTTGGCCATTGCATTGAAACTGCACGTAGCTCTCCTGAAAGGAGCAGGAAATCCTGGACTGCACCTAGCTTTTTCCAAAGCCAGTGAAGCCAACTTGAAAGGGCAGTAGACATCTCTAACGTTTTTTTAAGAATAGACTTCCGTACAATTCGGATAATTCTCTTCTTCTGATTTGTTGCTGCTGTTGGTGATGGGTTTTCTCTTCTCCCTTCACAGTGCTCTGTGAAAAGCTGCATCACTGCCTTCCATGTCACCTGTGCCTTCGAGCATAGCTTGGAGATGAAGACCATTCTGGATGACGGGGATGAGGTCAAGTTCAAGTCGTACTGTCTAAAGCACAGCAAAAACAAACCCAATTCTCTGCCCGACATGGATGAGCACCCCAAGAGCGTGTCGGAGCAGAAGCAAACGGAGAGCGAGAAAACCAGTTTGCGAGCGCAGAAACTCCGGGAGCTGGAAGAAGAATTTTACTCCCTAGTGAAAGTGGAGGATGTTGCAGCAGAACTGGGCCTACCGAAACTTGCTGTAGATTTCATCTACAATTACTGGAAATTAAAACGGAAAAGTAACTTTAACAAACCGTTGTTTCCTCCCAAGGAGGATGAAGAGAATGGCTTGGTGCAGCCCAAAGAGGATAGCATTCATACTCGCATGAGGATGTTCATGCATTTGAGGCAGGACCTGGAGAGGGTAAGAGCTTCCGAGGTGAAGGCTCCGAAGGAAAACGTCTTCATCCCCAGGCAAAGAGGAAAAATGGGAATGGCAGAAGCTTGAGCAGATGATTTAAATGTGTATATGGGGATATATGGGATATGAGTGTAGCATTGTATATGGGATGTGTGTGTATGTGTAAGGGGTGTGTGGGTAAGTGCCAAAGCCTGTGTAGGGCAAGTGCTTGGCCGGAAGGAGGGGCTCTCAGGCTCTGCTCCGGCGGCGCTGCCGACGCTTCCCGCCTGCGGGACCCGCTGCTCCCGGGCACAGAGCTCGGCCCGGAGCCTCCGGGGCCGCACGGCCTCTGCCGCCCGGTGCAGCTGAGACGTGGGCACCGTGTGTGCTCGAAGCTTCATTGCGTGTGCCCGGGCGCTTTCCCCCTCGGTGTTCCTGAGCGTACAGCGGGGGCTTCTGCAGCTGCATATCTGCAGCTGGAGGTGGTGGAGTAAAAGGTGGCTAGTCTGTGCAGTAAGTCCTGACTCCACACAGGSGGAAGAGGGAAAACCAAAGGGAGCTGGCGGGTGCTGCAGCCGCTCGTGTGCCTCGGCTTCCCGAGCGGCGCCGGCCTCTCTCACTGCCCGCTCCAAGTGGACGCTTTGACTGTGCCCAGCGCTGCCCTCGGTGCTGGAGTCGGGCTCTGAAAGCCACTGCTGAGGCCACTGCTGCTTGGGGCGTTGCTGAGTGGGGTGATTGGGGCATTGCTGAGTGGGGTGAAAAGGAAAATTACCTTGTTGTTGGAAGGTGCCTGAGCTCTTAGCTGTGTTGTTAGGTTATCAGCCAGGAGAGGGTTTCAAAAGAAGGAGTCCTTGAGCAAAATGCAAAAATGTTAATATGCTTCTACTGTGATTTTTATCTTCTGGTAAAACACTTTGTCTTTTTCTTTGCATTAGAAGAACTGTTGGTTTGCTTCAAATTTTGTTGAAATTAAGTTAAATGTTTGCAGTGGAGGTCCTTTATGATTTGCAATTGCCTGGTTAAAGCTTTGCTGAGCTTGCGCTGCAAGGTGATGTCACCTGGTGTTATGTGTTGGGTGAAAACCCTGCTGGAATTTAGGAATTTCCGTTCTGGGAAGGGAGGCGACAGTTTGGGGACAGCTCAAGGTGGTTGGATGGTGGGGAGCTGCACGGTGCCTTCAAGGAAGGTGGACGTCGCTTCGCTCTTGGGCCGGCTCCCTCACACGTTTTGTGAAAAGACTTTTGGTGCCTTTTCCTGTTTACGTTAGGTGGAAATACTGCTGTAAACAAACAYAGGTAATGGAAAGTAGAATTTCGTGGTGCTGTCAGGGCAAGTAATCCATTCATAGAATCACAGAATGCTTAAGGTTAGAAGGGACCTCAGAGGTCATCTAGTCCAACCCCCCTCCTCACTCATTCCATGAAACATTTTGTGTGGCAATTCCAGGAGAATCTAGTCTTGCCTACAACAACATCCCCAACATCTTTCGAAAGGTGCTTTCCTTTCAGCTAGAGTTTTGTTTGCTCGCTGTAATAAATGGAAACGTAGTCCACTGTCTTGCAGAATATATTCAAGGCATTCCTTGAATGGGTGCTTTAAACAAAAATGCAGGAAACGGCTTCCCTCCCTGCCCCTCCAGGTGTTAGTTGCATGTGTTCAGTGGGAATATTCCTCAGGTGCTTGCCAAGAGGTTTTGCACGCGAGTGTGTGTTTGTTTCTGACGCCTCCTTCCTGTCTCTGCAGGTGAGGAATCTCTGCTACATGGTAAGCAGGAGAGAGAAACTAAAGCTGTCTCACAGTAAAGTACACGAACAGGTCTTCAATTTGCAAGTCCAGCTCATTAATCAGGAAATTGCTGCAGGTAACCACTTAAATGCAAAACGCRTTTCAACTCTCTCTCTTTATGCCGCTGCCTAGTGTTTTTATCCGCTTGAAATCTTTTCTGCCACTGTTCAGCCAACTAAATTAGCAACACGCACAAAACATCTTAGTCTTCTGCAATATTACTCAGGTGCTTTTTCTTTCATGAGGACTTCAGGCCTGTGCCCTAGGGTTATTGGTTGCTGTGAATTGCAAAATCGCTGGATGGTTGAGCTCAGGAGAGGCYCCTGGAGACCCTCTGGTCTCAGGTCTCTGGTCTCTGAGCTGTCACCCCACTGCGGTGCCATCTCCCCAGGGCAAGGCCTTCCTGCTGCTTGTTCCCCCACGGAAAAGTGCTTTTTTGCCGGCTCTCCTCAGTGAGAGTGACGAGAGCGGCTGCTCSAAATGCCTCTCGTGTCGGCTCGTGCCTCATGAGCAGCCCGAGAAGGAATCCCTCAGCGTGGGGCCTGCGCTCTCTGTCCTTGCCCTGAAGGCTTTGGTACCTGCTGTGTGACGGCCAGCGTACCCAAACCAGCGCTGCCCTTCAGTTCCTTATTTCAGTGTGCTGAAATAAGGAAYGCGGCATTTGAAAAAGGAAGAATGTACATAGTTATTTTTAATAGCAAGGCAGCTGTTCCTGATGTATGAAATGAAAATCCTGGTGTTCGTTGAAGATAGTTACTGCGTTTTCTATAGCTGGCTTATTCAGAGTGAAGTCTGTACTTTTCTTCTCTTCCACCTGGGTTTCATTGGTACAGGTTGAGTTTTTTGAGAAGGGTTTTGGATCAGAGTAGTGCTGTGTGGAAGCAGCAGTACTCTCAAACAATACGTGGTTTTGTGTAAGTAATTCTTTTTAGAATTGAATGTCTACGTTCAGAAATGTCTACTACATTTATTTTAAAGCTTCCTAGATAGCTTGGTAGCTACTTTGCAATGATGATCCGTGTGATGAAAGGGTTTTTAAAGGGGAGAGAGCTTTTTAATACAAAGCAGAGAGTTGAACTAAGCCCAAATTAAAACTCAGTTTGAAGGATTGTTTTTTCTCTATAGAAAACTGAATCTGAATCTTTTTTTATACTTTTGCTGGAATGATTTCAGACATCTCAAACTGAGTCAATTTGATGGTATTAAGCTGCAATAGAAGCATTTTTTTTTTAATGGCAATGCCAAAATGCCCACCTAAGTTCTAAAATGGTAGATAATGTAGAACAGTTTTCACTTTCGTGGCTTTCCTGTCCTAAAATAATTCCATGCTGATCGTTTGCGAATGCTGCTTCCTATTAAAGGTGCTTCTGATGGGGTGTCGAACTCGTTACAGAGAACATAATACAAAATAAATGCGAGATGGAATAACGACAAAGCGATGAAATTGTTCGGCAGTAACCCGCGTTTTTGCCTTTGTGTCGCCCCGCAGGCCACGCGCTGAGCGGGGCGCTGGACAGCGCGCTGTTCTACCCGCCGCCGCCGCCGCGGATCACGCTCAAGCTGCGCATGCCGCGCGCGGCGCTGGCCGAGTGCCGGGCCGCGGCGCCGCCCT